AGCGCCAAGGTTGGTCACCGTTTGGGAGGTCGCCACGTCCTCCTGGGCGTCGACGATCTGGCTGGAGGGAGGGAAGGGAGTCGGAGAGGTTCACGGCTGCTGTGGGGCGTCCTGGTTGGTGCCGGGGGGAGGGCCCCAGAGGGTCCTCTTCCCGCTTTCCCCATTGCCTGGGTCGTCATCGCCGCTGACGTTGTCGCCGCCGCCGTCTTCGCCGTCGAGGCTCATGCGCAGGAGGAGGGCAGGCGGAGGAATAGGAAGAGGGCTGGACTGGCAGCGAGCCGCGCATCGCCCCCTATGGCCAAATCAACGCGGCATCGAGGGATCGGAAGGGCCCACCTAAACCCTGCCAGCTCTCAGAATCTCTGGACAGTCGCTGGCGCAGCGGCAGCTCTGGCTGATCAGTCAACATTTTTTTTGACAGAGGAAGCGTGCAATCAGGATTTACTGCTTCAGTTGGCGTTGCCTGGCGCTTGGCTCTGGTAACCGCTGCTTTGCGCACACCGCTCGAACTGAATCGAATTCGCCGTGTCTTGCTGTCTTCTGGGCGCCATGGCTCAATCGCCCACGGCTTCGAGCGCTGCCGGTGTGCCGCACCTCAAGCCCGAGGGGGCGAGCCTCAGAGCCGGCGCGTGCGAGGCGCAGTGTGCGGAGGCAGGCGGCATCTGCACGCTTCCGCACCCGTGCGGCCAGGAGCAGTGCGACGGCCAGCGCAAGCGGTGCGACGACGAAAGCAACACTCATGTGCGCTAACGACGGCCAGGACTCCACTGGCCGCCCACACTGACCCATGCCACAGAGCAACCGAACGATGAACGATCGCACATGGAGGCAAACCGCCAAAGACACCGTCACGTGGGCGAGCGCCAGTACACCGACCCCACGCGAGCGGTCATCCAAGACCAACCGCGAGAACACCCGGCGAATGCCGAGACGGCACATCAAAGTTGCGCCTGCACCAACACAATGGATTTTCTTATGTTCATCCTCTCTTGTTCCTCTGTCATCACCTTTCCTGCATCTCGCACCGCATGTTCTGCAGGCACGCCAGCGGTGTTGCCCCATCCCGCCCCGCCCCCTCCTCTGCGGCCGCCCTCTTCTTTACCACCCCGCTCTGGCGCTACTGCACCCGGCACGCCCCGCCGTTAGCGACCCACGCCTTTTGTGCTGCCCCTCCCGCCCAGCCTACTCCTCCGCGGCCGCTCTCGTCTTCTCCACCCCGCTCCGGCGCTACTGCACCCAGCGCGCGCGGCCCTCGCGCCCGCGTCCGCAGGCGCCGCCGATATGAAAAATAGGCAGGCATTCCAGAGTTTGTTTTAAGTCGGGCACGTCACTCTGCAGGAGGAACATTCGAAAATAGTTAAGAAATAGTCTGGGGACGATTTTGGACTATGTTTTGCTATGTTGGAGTATTATTTGACTATCTTATATTTTTCTTCCAAAATCCGCCTGTAGGAGGACACACCCGACCTAAAGTTTGTAATCGTTTTCTTGTTCCTTGTTTTGCCGATCGGCGCGGGCCCTCGCCCCCCCCCCCCCCTTCCCTCCCCCCGTGGAGGAGATCTTGGCTGTTTTGGCGCCTGTTTCAAACAGGAGGGGTCTCCCCCATCGGACGCACTGCTGCAAACAGTCGGACTGGAAGCAGAGGTCCGGAGCCAGACGCTCCCCTCCCTGCCCCCCTTCCGCCCAATGTCGAAACGCCGAATGAGCAAACGTTCACTTGTGTATCCGCGGTTGCGTCCATTTCCAGGTTTGCCGACGGTGTCGTCAATCACGGTTGCTGCTGTGGGCCACCCGTGAGCTGCGGGCTGCAGATTCCGACGGCTCGGATCTCCGAGAGAGGCCCTCTCCGCTTGGCCGTCGGGCTGCCTCGCGATTCGCGGAGTAGAACCTTTCGACCTTGACTGAGCAGTCGCTCCCGCACACCGCGGGAACCTCCCGCAGGCCCTGAGTTCGGAGGGAGAGCCCGGGCCGCCAGAGGGTGGCCGGAGTGGGCAGGGACGGAGGGTCGCGCCGCGCTGACGCATCGGCGATGCGGCGCGATGCGGAGCCCGATTCTCTCCACCCGCACGCGGCCGACGGATCGGCGAGGCGGTGCGATTCTCCGACGCCATCCACGGTTGCCGCCTCTCGCAAGGACGAGATGCTCTTCCTCATCCTCGGCCCAGTTCTCCCCCACGATGCCACTCCAGCGGGCTGCAACTGGGACGCCGATGGGTCTCGCATGTGGGCGGCCTCCATGCTTCTCCAGAGGAGGGCCTCCATAGGCTTCGGGAGGCCTTCGGAAGCCCCCCCAAAAGGCCCACAAAGGACCCGAATCGCCAAGAGACCTCGATAGGCCTCCAGAGAAGAGGGAGGGAGGGATGGGAGATGGATTGGGAGGTGGGGCCGACGGAGTGGAGTGAGGGCGAGGTGGACAGCGTCAAGGGCAAGTCGTGCTCCCAACCTTGCGCTCACCCCTCCTCTCCCTCCTCCTCCCTCCCCTCCCTCCGTTCCTCCCTCCCTCCCTCCCCCATTCTTTCCCTCGTTCCATCTCCCCTTCCCTGCCCCCTCCTCCTTCTGGCGCCGCAGACCCCCTTGGCCGGGGATGGAGCGCTCCTCCACCCATGGGCCTGGGGATCGCCGCCGGGGCCGCTTCCTTCATCACTCGGGGGGCGCAGGCGCAGCCAAAGTTACCAGCCTGGAACATATCCCTATCCCTATGCTGGGCATCTCATCACGATGCCAATCTTAGGAATTCCCCTATTTTTTGAGGGCGGATCCCTAATCGCCTATTGGCGTGTCAATCTTAGGGATAGGGATGCGTTCAAGGCTGGTAACAAAGGGATGCCCCCGAGGGGTGTCAGCGGTGCGGTGGGTTCGGCTGCGTCGCACTGCGTCGCGGTCGGTTCGGTCTGGTCGCGCCGCGTTGCACGGTTCAGTTCGGTCGGCTGCTGCATCGCTACCGCGTCGCTGCGTCACCCTCGGCTGCTCCCGGCAGGCTTGATCTCGGCAGGCTTCGGTTTCGCTGCCGGCCTCGGGCGTTCTTTTCAGTTGCGTTTTGCTCGTGGGCGGCTTTGGAATTGCGGCGCAAGGATCGGGGAAAGGTAAGGCTCGAGTACGCTGGAACTCGGGTTTCTCGGCGCTTTTTGACGAGCGCGTCCTGGACTTTGACGATTCAGTGTTCGAGGGATGTCTGCAGCGGGAGCTCGCGTCAAATTTCAGATTTGGTCCAGTCATTTTCATGATGTCGCAGGCCTCGAGGTTGGCACCAACACCAATATCGGCGGTGTGCCTCCACCGAGGGAAGAAGATCCCGATCTCGGTGATGGTGGTCATATTCTGGCTCTCAAGGTGGCCGAAATTATTACCACCAACACCGAGATCTGGGATCACCTTCCCCCTGTGGAGGCAACCCCCTGTGCTGGTGTTGGTGCCCATTTCCAGGCCTCCAATGATCAGAGGTTGATAGACCTCCTACCTTGACACGTCGATCAGTGGATTGGCCGTTTTCGGTTCGCGAGAGGGCGTCGCGGCCGTTACTTTTGCGGGTCCAGGTCCGTCGGTTTCGGTCCTGGGCCGTTTTCACTAAAGGGAGGCTTCCTAAAGGGAGGTTTGTCCACCGCCGAAATGATGGCCCCGTCGGGCCAACCCAGGTCCCCCGAACCCGAGTCCTCACGTCTCCCCGAAGGGAGGGCCAGGGTCGGAGAGAGCGTCTTCTGTGGGTTTGTGGGCGGCGCGGGAGCGCGGAGGTGCAGCGCGCAGCACGCAGCGCCGAGCGCGAAGTTGTGCTCAAATCGGGCGTGTCCATCTACAGGAGGAGCATGCAACAATGGTACGACAAATTCGTATAGGAACTATTTTTGTCAGTACCCTTTGAGTATGTTCGGAGCATGGTTCGAGTATGTTTTTAGTTGTTCGTCCAAGATCGGCCTGCAGGGGGACATGCCCGACCTAAAGCAGGAGGGAAAGAGACATACAGACACAATGAATCGTCGATTCCCAAGATGTATGGGAAAATATGCGAAGTGGGGGAGAAGACACAAACCCAGAAGATACATGAACATATGGGGGATTATTTCATTTGTGTGTATGTATTTGTGTGTCCTCGGGTCCCCCGAACCCGAGTCCCTGCGCCTCCCCGAAGGGGGGGGCCAGGTCGGAGAGGGCGTCTTCTGTGGGTTTGTGGGCGGCGCGGGAGCGCGAAGGGGATCTCGCGCAGCGCGCGGCGCCGAGCGCGGATGCTGTGCTCAAGTCGGGCGTGTCCCTCTACAGGAGGAGCACGCAAAAACAGTACGACACATTCGCATGGGAACGATTTTTCGTACCCTTGAGCATTTTCGGAGCATTGTTTGAGCATTTTTAGTTGTTCGTCCCAGATCGGCCTGTAGGGGGACATGCCCGACTTAAAGTTACAGTCGGGGCGCTGAAGAAGGAACCCTTTTCGTTTGGGAGGGGACCCGTGTTCCTTAGTTGTTTTACAGTGCTCCTGGGGTTTTCCTGAGGGTCGCCATGGGAAATCGGAGTTTAACTTATTGGGAAAAAGGGGCCTCGTTCCTTATTTAGGGTTCCTTGGGTCAACGCCCCAACTGTAGGGGGACATGCCCGACCTAAAGTTATTCGCCCTTGCCCACGGTGGGGAGAGGGTCGGGGGCAGCCCGATTGGCCCCGAGCAAGCCGACCCCTCCCGTGCCGTCCTCGCCCCGCTCCAGGACGCTCGACGCCGCTCGGACGCGTGCACTCTTTCTCCCGGCGAGGGCGAGGACCATGGAGGGGCATCCTGGACCCCTCCGCGAAAAACCTCCTCCTCCTCCTCCTCCTCCTCCTCCTCCGTAGCCATTTTGGCTCAAGGTTGAAACCTGCCCTGGGGCTTCAGCCTTGTCGCAGGCGACAGGGAGGCCCGAACCTTCCGAGGCCAGGACGCCTCTCCCGTTCCTGTCGTGCGCCCCAGCACGCTCCCAGTTTTGGCTACAACGACGCGCTCTGAGGCGCCATGGGCCCTGCCGCCTGCGACCGCCCGCACCATGCCGTGCATCGTCTCGATGGTGGTGATGATGTTGATACGGAGATCGCTTCCTCTGGTGGCCGTGACTCCTCTGAGGAGCCCCGCCGCTCTGCCTCTCGGAGCGGTGGCAGCCGAGGTGCCCGTCGTGCCGCTCGCGCTCGGCCTTCCTCCCACGGCAACGCTGGACCCGCTCCTGAGCTTCCTCGCCGTGCTCGCCGTGCTGGCCGTACTCGTGGCTCTGGCGGGGACGTCCCACCTTCTCCTGGTGTTGCTGCCTCACATCGGGGCCCCGACCCTGCAGCACAGGGAACATCTCGGGGTGCTGCCTCCAGCCATGGGGCTCAGGCTATGCCCTACGAGGTGTGGGATGATGCCAAGCGGGCACAAGTGGCTGCAGACCTGGAGATGGCCGCTACCTTCCCGTCGCAGGAGATGCGCCCCGACCCGAACGCCACCCCGCAGGGCCCCGCTGCTGGGCTCTTCGACCCATGGGCCGCGGCGGCGGGGACTGGCGCTCTCTCGCGGGCTCAGGCTGCTGCTGGTGGTGCTGTTGACTGTGGTGATGAGGAGGAGCAAGCCGCCTTCACTCGGGCCTTTTACCATGCCGACATCTCCGCGAGATTCCTGCAGCTGCGCAATGAGTTCGACAACATCGTTACCACGGCCATCACCAACTCCGTCCAGCAGTCGAACGCTCCTATCGTGGCCACGCTCGCCACATTGCAGAAGCAGCTCTCCTCGCAGCACACCTCCATTGACCAGCAGGTCATGGCATCGGTGCGCCCACAGTTCGATACTATGCAGCGCCAGTTTCAAGAGCAGCATGATGCCCTCTGCCGTCGCGTCGACTACACCGAGCGGGACATCGAGGCCCACGCCGCTCAGCTGGCTGAGCTGCAGAAGCAGGTCGAGGAGCTTCGCCGCCAGAATGAGCTGGACCGACAGCTTCCCTCGCGGCCTCCTGCCCCGCCTGGCTTCGACCGCGAGATCGATCCGACGCAGGTCATTGTGGTCTCGTCCAAGCTCGTCGGTCTGGCTGGCGTCCGTGAGGTGGTCAACTCCTTCATGGGCGAGCTCAACTTCTCTGAGGACGACTCGTACACGATCAAGGCCCTCACGCCGCTCCCCTCTAAAAAGTTTGCCGTCTGCTTCTCTGGGCCGATCGGACTTGCCTCCCGCCGTGTGCAAAAGGCCCTTGCTAACCTCAAGACGGACGGCGCCTGGCGGGTCTTCCAGTGCCCGGCTCAAGGTGCTGACCCAGCCCGTCTTCACTTCGGTCCTGACAAGTCGCCGAAACAAGTTCGTGGCGAGATGCTCCTCCGCAAGGTCCGCTCTTCCCTCATGGAGCTTGACAGTCAGAGGAGGTGGTATGTCGATCGGGAGCGGAGCGTTCTCAAGTCTGACTACACCGACATCCTTCGTCTTGTCCCACGGCCAGGTGACGAACCACCTGAGCTCTCTTGGAACGACGTGGGGATCCGCGCCCTCGGCCTTGACCGTCGGGACCTTCAGGGAGCCATTCGAAACATCACCGCTGCGCCGACGGCCACCCAGTGGTGTCTTTAACGCCATTACCAGTATGTTTGTGCTCCCAGTGGGGCAGGTCGGCGGAGAGATCACAGCCAGCCTCACATTCATGACATGGAATGCACGTGCTCTTCTTCAACTTGGTGGGGCGAGGGCCTCGCCTAAGCTATCTTACCTAAGCAGACTGCAGCCTGGGCGATCCATCTTGGCTCTTCAAGAAGTGCATGCAGATCGATTTGAGTTGAACGACTTTGTGACAAGGCTTTCTTCCACGGCCATTGTCCACAGTAGCTTTTGTGAAGATGACGTTGGAGAGGTTGTCCGCGGCTCTGGGGGAGTTGCAGTCATCCTTCCTCCTTTCTCATCTTCTTCGGTCAGTAGCTGTGCGGTGCCTCTGATCAGAGGCAGGGTGCTTCGCGTTGATGTGGCACTTGGGCATACACAGCTGGTGATCTTCAACGTTCACAATCACGGCTTGACCAAGGGTGAGGTACAATCTGTCTGTGAGCAGATCGGTTGTGCTCTGCGTCGTGCTGCTGATGACCCACTCTCGTACTTTGTGGTTGTCTTGGGGGACCTCAACTACAGTTTCGATTCTTCTCTTATCTTTCATCGACCTACTGGTGTACAGCGGCAGCAGACCCATGATCATAAGGTTCATGCTCCAATTTGGGCTGCTACACTTGGCAAGATGATGGAGGTTAACTCGGAAGCGGCTACCCACTTCTGCAAGTTCACCAATTCCATCAACATCATCGACCGCTTCTTCTGCTCTGCCACAGGCTGGATGATGTGTCAGCTCATGACCGAGGTCAACACGGTGGACACGCCAGAGCACCTGAGCTCCCAGGGCATCTCTGATCATGCTGCTCTTTCGATTCGGCTGCGACTTCGTGGTGCGCGTCCTGCCTCTGAGCGGCCCATACCCAAGCACATCTTCACCTCTGTTGCCTTTCAACGCCGACTCCGAGGAATGGTTGCTGATAGTGATGAGGATCTGCTCCGATGGAGCCCACCTGTGGCCACAGAGCACTACAAGTATATGATGAAGGAGGCCGCCAGGGAGGCCCGCAACATCCTCTTCTATTCGGCCCCTGACTTGCCTGGGACGCTGCAACTGGTTGCTCGTGGGATAGCGCGAGCTGTGTGGCGTCAAGACGCTGCCCTCGCCCTCAAGCTCATCGAGACCTCCCAGCACGCCGCCGACGCCCTGACGGTCGACGGCCAGGTCGTCTCGCTGCGCCACGCCCCGTCCTTCGAGCAGTGGGCTGCTGGAGTACATCGGCTGGTCTATGAAAAAGAACTTGCTGCTGCTGCTGCTGATCGTGCTCCATCAGGCTCCTCCTCTGCTTGACGGCCTAGTTCGGCCACGCTTTTGCGTGCTCTCGAGAGAAAGGCCTCCATATGGGCCCCGTTTTCGAAGCGCCTGATACTGTCCGCGGTCAACACCCCAGAGGGCCCCATCTCAGAGGTTCGGGAGCGCACTGCGGCCCTGGCGGCCTACTGGACCCCTGTCTTCTCCAAGAAAGAGCCCCACCCTGTCATGACCCAGAAGTACCTCGATAGGTTCCTCACCAAGGCCTCCGACATCGACCTGCACTGTCCTCTGACCTCAATGTTTCGGAAGGTTCTCCGGCGTGCCCGTCACTCTGCTCCTGGTGTCGACGGGCTGCCCTACGCGGCCTGGTCGGCGTGCGACTATGGCGCCCAGCACCTGGCCAGAATGTTTGGGTGGCTATGCCAAGGTCAGTCGTTGTTCGCCTCCGCCAGCGTCACCCTCCAGGCGTTTCTCCCCAAAGGTGTTGACGACTCAGATCAGCCGTCTGGGATTTGTTCTCGGTCTCCTGATAAGATACGGGTCCTGGGGCTGCGAAACACCGACGTTAAGATCCTGAGCTCGGTCATGAATCGGGTCCTCGAGCCTGTCGTCCAAGCCGTGGCACCTGCTTCCCAGAGAGGCTTCATCAGAGGACGGAATTTTTGCCATAACGTGCTTGAGCTCGATGCCCATGCTCGGCTTGCATCTCAACATCCCCTTGCTGAGCGCCGTTCTCCTGTCCTCGTCGGGTTCGACTACGGGCAGGCCTTTCCGAGCTTGTCGCAGGCCTTCCTGCTACAACTGTTGGGCTCTCTTGGGCTCCCCGCCGAGGTTCTTGCTTTTGTGGGATGGATGTATTTGGCAGTGGAAGGTGTGGTCCATGATGGGGGACGCTACGCGACCATCTTCTGGATCCGCTCGGGCATCATCCAGGGCTGTGGTCTCTCGGGGTCTTTATATGCTCTCGCCTCCTCTCCCATGCTGGCCGACCTCGAGCGGAGCATCGAGCATCGTCGGCTGGGGATATGCCGTGCTTGTGCCGATGACCTAGGTGCTGTCCTGTATGAGCTGGCCTCTCTGCGTATCCTGGTGCGGGTCCTCGGTGTCATGGAAAAGATTGCGGGCCTCAAGATTAAGATCAGCAAGTGCACCCTGGTCCCTCTCGTTGGCTGCATGACCGAAACCCTGAAAACTATGACCCAGGCCCAGCTGGCCTCGATCGCGGGTGCCTGGTCAGGCTTTGCTGTTGAGGGGTGGTTACTTTATCTTGGGATGATCTTGGGCCCTGATGCGACGGTCGACATGAACTGGAGGGGCCCGCTCATGAAGGCACGATCTCGCTCTCGGATGTTGGGACGTGGGGTTGCGTCGGTCTGTACTAACTGTATCTTATACCGCACGCGGGTTTACCCTTGTTTGGCCTATGTTGCCCAATTCCTTCCTATGCCCGAATGGTTCCTGCCCATTGAGCGTGGTGCTATCGCCCAAGTTCTTCGTGCTCCCCTCGGCCTCTTTTCGAACGAATCGGTCCTGGAGCTCCCGGCCTGGGGTGGTCCTCAGATCCCATCGTGGGCTGCCCACGCTACTGCTGCTCATCTTCGTGCTGCTATTCACACCTTCCAGGGCTATGAGAAATACCTGCGGCTGCTGCGGCAAACGGCTTCGCTTTGGCACAGAGAGGTCGTGGAGGGGAAGTTTGATGCTATCCCTTTGGCTGCTATGGATCGCTCTCGTGTCTATCCAGCGTTCTGGAAATCCCCTGCGTTCGTCGAACACCTTGAGCTGGTCCACGTGAGGTCTCAGGAGCCCCTACTCGTCGCCGCTCGCTCGGCTATTCGTGAGGAAGCTCAGGTTGCGACACGAAGACCCAAGCTACAACGTGCGGCTGCTCGCTCACTGGGTCAGAATATGTGTATGCACAAACCTCTGCACGCTATGCTGATTCGCCACTTAACCCCGCTCTTCACGGCTTACCACCCCTTCCTCAACCAGATCCACTGGCCCGCTATTCAGGAGCTTCTGGCGTTGGTCCCGCAAAGCTGGGCTATGGCGGCCTTACGGACTTGGGGGCATGGATGGCTGACGTCCTACAGGATTATCCACCCACAGGGTAAACTTCGTTGCCGTTTCGGATGCCCTGGCCCAGATCGGCAGCAGCATTATCTCCGCTGCCCTAAATTGTACCAGGCAGTCAGCAAGGGACTACAACGTGCCCTGCCTCGTCCCCTGGCTCGGCGTCTTGGCCTTACCCATCCCCACCCTGACCACTTCGAGGCTCTCTATGTCTATTACCAGGTCTTCAACCATGCTCGCCAGGGTGCGCTCGTGTCGACTCCTCGTCAGCTACGCGGTTATGTTGAGGCCGCCGTCCGCACCTCTCGTCTGGCCAGACCTTCAGACAAGTTGAAACGGTGGGAACCTCCTCCCGATGTTCAGGCGATCCGCCGCAGGCAGCCTCAGTGGGATGTGCTCACTTCCTCGTCCACCTCCAGTTTGAGCTCCGACGCCGCGGCCCCTATCCCTGGCCTGGTCCCACCCACTCCGTCTGACGACGATGTGAGGCATAGTTATTCGGTGCGCGGTGGTGCTCTTTCGGGTTCTCCCACGGGCTCAGATGAAGTCGGCCAACCTGCTCTCCAGCCAGAGTCCCCTGTGCCCTTGTCTGCTGGCGCTTTGGCTCAGTGCGAGGCCCTGCCCTCAGGGCAGGTCGTGAAAGGGCGGACGCCCGTTTCCGCGGCAACCTCGCCGCAGCCTGCGGCATCCATGTTCTCGTGGCCGCTGACCGCCACCGCGGCGCTCTCCGCGGTCCGTGCAGCGACGCTGACTGTCCCAACCACATGTGAGGTGGATGTGGCACGGCTCGAGCGTGAATATCGAGCGACCATCAAGCGTGTCGAACGCCTTCGTGCTGGTGGGCTCCCTGTTCGAGAGGACCCTGCTCTTCCTGAACAGTTGATGTGCCCTAGCGCTGCCACCCCTCCGATGTCGACGCCGTCACCTGGTACTCCTGTTCTGAATCTTGCTGGCCATCCGCATTCTTCCCCTCCGGAGCATGCACCACCAGCTGTCTTTGCCGAAGGTATTGCGTCGAGGGCTACGCGCTGGGTCTTGCGCCTGGATGACCCCGAGAGTGGCCGTGCTGACTGGTTGCTGTGGTGCATCCCGTACGTGCGCGCCAAATTAGACGCGTTGGATTGGGTGGATTCTTCTGGTTGGGGTGGCACACTCGACGAACTTGCTCGTCATATTTGCACGATTGCCTGGGACACTTCTCTTGAGGGGCGCCTCAACATTGTGGCATACCTTCGGTGGCTGAATGACCCTCGCCACGCCTTGACTCGACACGAGCGATGGGAGGAGGCGGCTGATCGACATTACCAGGCACTTCGTGAGATACGCAGAGAGATGAGGCAATACATGGGACCGGCTGCGCCACAACGTGTACGCGACTTCCTTGTGGACAGAGATGGAGGCGAGGTCCTGCCCACCGTCTCTGCCAACGGATCGGTCCGCTACCTTGCTTCACTTGTCTCAGCAATGGATTCTGAAGATGGTGATGACGCCGACGGAGTTGGAGACGACGACCCTGCCTCTTTCCTCTTACAGGTTTCTGCTGCAGGGTGCTCCTCGAGCCCTGCGGCCACTGGCGTTAGATCGCGGAGGTCGACCGCCTCTGATGGAAATAACGGCTCTGGAGTAAGTTGCGAGCTTGCGTCTCGAG